AAACTAGTTTCAACTAGACAAAACGGGTTTTAACAAAGACATTCAGTATAAACTAGTTTCAACTAGACAAAACGGGTTTTAACAAAGACATTCAGTATAAACTAGTTTCAACTAGACAAAACGGGTTTTAAGAGACATTCAGTATAAACTAGTTTCAACTAGTTAAAACGCGTTCTAACTAAAAACGGGTTTTGACTGTAACATATATATTACAGATAAAATATATTTATTCACTATTAAGAATTATTTAAATAATAATTAAATAGTTCTTAATAGTCAACTTTATAAATGTTACTTATCAAATGATAAAACTGGATTCTTATTGACCTACAATAAGGCTAATTAATTAACATGTTGTAAGTAATTTGGTTAGAAGTATGCAGTTAAGCTACTGTTGCATGTTAAATTCAATAAAAATAAATAAATTTAATTTATAAAATTTCAGAAGAAAGTATTATTACTATTACTATTAAATTTAACATGATGGCAGTCTAATCATTTACCTCTATTATATTACTTAATAGCTTGTTAATTAATTAGCCTTATTGTAACCTGATAAGAATCCAGCTGTATTATTAGTTAATATCATTATCTTAAATAACTTTTCAATTTAAGGACAGTTTCTTTAATCTTTAATTTTTTCAGGAAATGGTTCTCCTGCTATTATCCAGCAATGCAGATGTGTTTATAAAGAATGCAGAGGGTAAAACTGCTAAAGATTTTGCAGATGGAGATATTAAAAAGTTAATAAAAGGTATTCATAACTTGTTAGATTTCTAAATAAAACAAATTTACTAACTATAATTTTTTTTATTTATTGAAATACTGTACTTATAAAATTTATAATAAAAAATAGACAATTTTATAGTCTACATCTTGTGAATTTTTACAATAGTTTTATGGCAACAGCATATTCAAAATCATGTAATTTTTTTAACTTTTACAAAAATTAAAAAATTATTATATACAAAATCAAAATATAAAGCTTTTCTGTTTGATTTGTTAATATTTTTTAGTTTTCTTCTCAAGTTAAAGATTTGATATGTTATACTTGCACACTTAGAAATTGGGAAAATGTATACAAAGGATGTTGTATTCCTATGAATTCACTCTTAAAAACAGTGTTTTAATGGCAAAATGTAGAATAGATGAAATGTGCATTCTAATTTGTTAATTATCTTATAATTTGGAAAAGTTGTAATCTTCATTTTTTATTTTATATAAAATCTTAACAAATCATGTACTTTTCCATCTTATATTTTTAATTTTTAATTAAATTATAAATATAAGATTTAATTTAATTATAATATTAAAGATTTTTAATTTATTATGTAATTACCAGCCTTTTTTGAAATGTCTTGATTTACTTGTTTTTAACAAGTAAAATGGTAAAATTTTTACTTTATTTCATTTCTCTTCACATTAATAATAATAGTAAAAAAAAATTAAAAAGTCCAAATAAAGAGTGAAATTTTGTTTTACAATGCTGTTAATTTCATAGAACCTCTCACTTCTCTGTTGACACACATTGAAGAGGCTATTTAGTTTAATTTATTCTACTGAAAAATAAGAAGGAACTATTGATAGAATGTTAAAAATTTGTATTATATCAATATAAGTAAAGACTATATCAGTTATTTTTAATTTAAGAGGAACTAACCAGTTATGGTAAACGTGATAACAATTATTCATGCTTTTATGACACTTATCATCAAACTATATAAATAAAATGTGAATAATTGATATAAAAATTTAAGGAGTTAATCTATTTATTTCCAATTAAACATTTTTTGAGACTGTTTTCACTATCATATCAAACACTTAACAAATTCAAATACAGAGTTAGCTGAAAAATTGGTATCAGACAACACAAGTTCCACTGTGGCTGTTCACATACAGTGTGTTAAATACAATTTTGTTCTTTACTTTCTATTGTTTATTTTATATTTTAATTATATATTTAGCTTGTGTTCAGAAAGTTGGAAAATCCAGAAATTCAGACCTCTTTTGATCCCAAGCATGCTGGATATTCAATCTAGTACAGTACTAATAAAATAGAGAGGAGAAAAAGAAACTGAAGTATGGGTTCCATCCTTACAACTTTTTCTAACTCTAAACCACTTAAAACCATCCTGCTAAATACTCTTAATCATCAAGGAGACTGATAAATCACTGATCAAAAATTATTTTTGAAAAGTTTGTTTTATTGAACAGACTGTAAATACTTTTGCTTTTATTATCACTATATGCTGAAACTCTAAAAGAATTACAGTAATTAGAAAAAGATTTTAATGTGGATAATATCTATAGTAGATTTGATGTTTGAAGACTTGGGGTCAAGATGAGTTTGGAATGTCAATGTGAGTAGTGTGACTCTTGTAGTGATCAATTGTAATCCTTATGTAGAATAAAGCTCTTACTCACTGTAGAGGACTAACATATGCTAAAATTTAAATAACTTTTAGTTAACTTCTAATTTGTTTTTCTAAGAGTCATTATATAGAAAGAAGAGAATTAGTAGAAAGATTGTCAGCTTTTAAGGCATAAGTTTCAGTGTCTAATGACATTTTATTTGATAACTGTGTGTGTACAGATTGCAGAAGACGACTGAAGATTAGGTATAAGTAGTGTTGGTCTGTGGTAGTTTCTGGAAAAATTACAATAGAGATGAATATGTGAAGCACAAAAGATATTTCACAATTTTAAAGACCTTAGTAAGTTTAGAAAGTTATAGGTTGAGTTTGAAATTAAAATATCAAATAGACATATAACTTACACTTTCATTCACATTGACTTTGAACAGAGATAATCCATGTGTTATTCACAGGAAGTTATGGTACTTTCTTTTTATAGGGTAATCAGTCAAGAGCAATAAAAATATTCCCTGAAGATGTACAAGGTGTTTGAATGTGTAATATTTGTAAAGTTTGTGAAATATTTGTCATTCAGCATGATATATAATAATAATTGCTTTATTTTGATTTCAATTAATGGATTATATACTGTAGAACTCTGATTGTCTGAGGTAATGTGAATTGAGGCTACTTCAGATAACTGAAAACTGGGATAAAAGGGATGGCCACAGCCATTTTGGATTAGAAATTATGAATACAGTAATATCTTGACTTACGCTACCCCGACTTATGCAAACCCGGAGTTACGCAATTTTCAAATCTCGTCGAATCGTCTTTTGTTTGAGTGCTAGGCAATTCTTGATTACTCACTCCCCCACACTACTGTTCAGCTTACATGTTCGGATGTGTCGTGCGGAATCGACGCATAGCTACAATTTATTTTGTGTTATTTATTTCTGTGTATTTTATATCTATGGAGACTTGAGAGACTCTATGTGGTGATTTCTTGTAACCGTGAATAAATCAAAAGACGAGATAAGATTAACGAGAACATTTATTAGCTTACATACCTCCAACTTGGATTTTACACAAATTGTGAAATTATACCCCGACTTACGTGAATTCGACTTACGCGGTTATCGTTCGGTCCCACCTATCACGTAAGTTCGGGGTATCAGTGTATGAAAGATTTATATAGTATATCACTTTTAAGCATCTTTTTATACCTTAGTGAATTTAATTTTGTATAGAACAACATTTTTATTATACAGATAATAAATACAATAGTTTTAAGAATAAAAATGTATATTATTGTAGTTATGTTTTAATATGAATGGTTTGTTTTTACATTGATGTTAAATGATAAAAGATGAAAGAAATCATTTTGTAATACATGTTATCATTTCAAACTTTCTTTTATGGGTTGCATTATAAGAAAAGTAACAATGTATTCACATATAGGTTTTGATTTTTTATAATTCAGAATCTCAGTTAATCAGGACTTGGATAGTCAGGGTTCTACTGTAATTTTTAATGGAAAAAATTTCTAATGTGTTAGACAAAAAGAATTTTTACTTTTTATTAATCACATTAATAGTTTAAAATATGTTAATTTTTAGCTGTTGAAAAAGTAGACTTGCAAAAAAGAGAAGAAAAATTTCTCAATGCTGCAAGAGAAGGTGATTTAGCCACAATTAAAGAATGTGTATGTATAATTTATTTATATTTAGGTATATTAATTATAAATTTCTTTGCTCTTTGAGTATTTATTATAAAAATCTTAGTTTGTTTCCTAAAATAAATAATGATAAATGTAAGAAAAAACAATTAAAGAGAGTAGATATTTAAGAAAAATTTTTTAAAAATTAATAAAATTATCAGAATAAATTTAGTATTTTAGCAAAGTATATAGTTGATACTAGTTTATATAATTTAGAAACAATTATTTTAAATTTGTTGAAGATATACTAAGCTATATAGATTAGTCTTAGCTAATTAGATATCTCATACTAATAATTATCTTTTTGCAAAATAAAATGTTTGATCTATTTTGCAAGTAGATAACAGTTGAGTTTATTGTAAAGTATTATTCAGGATAAAATCAATTCTGTAATTAATACAAATTGTTCTTTTACTAAATTAATATTTTGATTGGAACAGTCTTGGCATGGAAATGGGTAGATATATATGTTACTGTGAAAAACAGAAATTAGAGAATGTCAACACATACAAAATATGTCGGTGAAAGACCGGATATTTGGTTATATTATTATACATTCGAACAATTGCCGGTGTATGTCAAGAAGTATAGATAAGCTTTGGTGGAGGTTGAAACGACACCAGATAAGCTGATGTCGACAGAGAGGCAACAGTCTGTTGCCAAATTCTTTGCCATTTTCTTCTGCTCAAATTGGTGATACTGTATGAATACAAGTCCCTGATGTCGACCATGGCCATATAGATGCCCAAAATGTGTTAGCAGTTGTTATTGGAATAGAAGACTCTGACTTTCATAAATTAACAAACAAAAATGGTACCCTCAAGCAGCTTTATACCTGTAATCAGTTCATAATTTGTAAAGAAAAGTTACTTTCCATAGATGAGATTTCTTCTCAAGAAATATTGCTGAGAAGCAGCTGAAGCTAATTCGAAAAGTGGAGGGCAAGGCTATACACACTGTCATTGCAAAAAGAAGTGTTCCACAAATAAATGCAGTGGTAAAAGCGAGGGACTCTTGTGTAATTCAAAGTGCCATAAAAATTTAAGTTGTTGCAATAAATAACATTGTATAACGTTAATCACATAATTTATGTGTAAGTTTATTATTGTGCTAGCTGTTAACCACGACTTCACACGTGCGGATTTTGCAAGCAAACCCCATTTATATTCATTATTTCAACAACCATAGTAATTATTATATAACACCTACCGTTGAGAATGATGAGAATTGCTGAGAATCAAATGAACTATTTTCAATTTGATCAATTTTCTGGAACGTTTACAATTGTTCTATAATCAAACTAATATGAAATAACAAATTCGAATTTAAAACGGTTCAAACATTTGGTTAAAAAATCGAAATACTGTATATAAAATTATTTATAACAATGTCTGAAATATTATCAATTTAATACACCTAAGTACTCAATGAAGACTAAACATAGTTGAAAACAAAAAATTGCATCTAAAATAATACAGTAGAAGCCGTTCTTCAGGTTAAGCCTTAATCCTCTCCCTCTCCCCCCACGGGGAATTTCGAAAAATCCCTTCTTAGTGTGCGTTTTCATGATGTACTCTGTGTACAAAATTTTGCTTCTAGGTTTAGCGATTTGCTCTGGGAGATGATGAATCAGTCAGTCAGTCAGGGCAAGTAATTTTATATATTTAGATTATTTTCTTTAATGATTTAGATTGTACTGTTCATTTTAGGTTCAACAGTCTATTTACATGTGCTGTTACTTAAGTTAAGCTTTCTCCTATTTTGACATATTAAAAAGTTGCATTTTTGTTTTAACATAATAAAAATATTTTTATTTAACATTCATCATCAGTTAATGCTGAATTTGCCGGTGTAAGTGAGAAATAATGATATTTAGCAAATATTTCATACATACACGAAACGACTGTATGAATGCTGACATTCATCGGAGAATGTTGACATTTGCCAGAATTCGGTCATTCACAGTAAAATATATAAAAACAGTTAAATAATCTTATGCATATTCTTAATTTTCATTTTTAATATCAATTAATATTGAAAGTAAATTTGCCTGGAAATGGTCTATTCCATTTCATGTGACTACAGATTATCAATTAATCTATTAAAATATAAACATCTGTAAAGTTTTGATGTGTTAAAGAAGGGAAAAAAATAGAACTATGTATACTACATAATGCAGGATGTGATCTAATAATAAATTATGATGATGATTATATGTATTTATAATAACATGATAATCATTATCTGATATAAATTTTGAAATAACAAATATAAGTTAAAAAATATAATTTTTTAGATTTTTATAAATTTAAATTTATAGAAAGAAATTTTGTATAAGTTAGAAAATTTTAAATATAAATTATCATATATGATTTTGTTTTTATAATAATTATATTTATTAACATAAGTGGATGTTTTTTCTAGTTGCAGGGGACTCATTCACCAAATATTAATTGCACTGATTTTCTTGGAAATACGGCATTACATTGTGCTGCTTATCGAGGTCAAAAAGAAGCTGCGGTATTACTGTTGCAGAATGGAATCGATTCAACAATTAGAAATACACATGGTAATAAAACATATAAACTATTATATTAATTTATAACTTAAAAAATTTAAGCATAATTATTTTACATGAGTGTATATTTGTAGCAACACAGTTTCTTCAGACATGAAACACTTATATTTCTTTTAATAACTGATTATGTTGGATAAGTGCTTTTATTGAATTGATGGAGTCACTTTCAGTTTTAAAACTGCTTCAGTTTATTGTTATTCCTATTATTATTTATTTTAGATATATTTATTTTAATGCATTATTGTTTGATTTAATATAATTCTATTAATTTGTTCTTTGATTTATTTGTTTTATCTTATTCATTGGACATAATTGCCATTTGTATTATTCTGTAGTCATTGAATTTGCATTTTTCATATAAGTTTGATTTGTTAAGTTTTGTTATAGTTAAAACATGAATTAAACTAAAACTTTTTTAAAATTAGGTCAATTAGCAATTGATTTATCAAAAAATGAAGGAATGAGGCAACTTCTGAGTCTACAGCCAACAAGACAAATGAAGAAAACTGCTTTAAGATTTGAAGGAATGTTAATGAGAGTATGTTCTAATCTAAAAAAATTAATTTTTGAATTATAGAATTTATATAATTGTTTCTAAGGATTATTACCATTATTACTATAAATAAGAGATTAATATTATATTTTATATAATTAATTGTATCTTTCATATTTATAATAATTGAATTTAATTATATGTAATTAAATTCAAAATTTATTACAAATTTTATAATACAATGATGAAATAATGAATATAATACAATTTTGAATTTGAGATGACTAGTTCCTGTATTGATGAATATTTAATTATTCAATTCAATTTTGTTTATTGATTCAAAATTAATTTCTTACAATGGAGGAAAACTTTTAAGTATCTATTACTTTCTAAGTTGCAATGAAAGACTAGGGCTTGTTTTTAATAAAGTAGACAATTTTTATTGTTATTTCTTATCATTTGTATACATTAAATATCTATTCTTTACCTTTTTTTATTATTGTACTAGAATTAAAATCAATATTTTTACTTTAAGGTATTTATTTATTTTATCCCTACCTAGTGTGATCAGTTAGCCATAAAAATCATTTATCCAAAGTTGTTTTGCCCTGATTATTTTCAATAATTGATGCTCTAATTTGGATAAGACAAATCCTTTAGTAAAGAGAAATTTATAAGATTCCAATTAACACCTATATTATTTATATATATCAAAAAAATTATATATATATATAAAAATATTACTTTGGATAATCAACATTATACTGTGTCTGTGTGTGTGTGTGTAGATATAATATACATGTCTTTCTTTGAAAGAACATACCAGATTTGATGAATGCATTTTTTTTATCAATAGACATATAGACACAGTGACCAGTCTATATACTTAGAAAAGCTACTTGTACCTTTCCTACAAGAAAAACTTTTTCAAATTTTTCTTTTATTGTTAGCTCTAGAGAAATTTAATCTATTACATAACATCACTATTTGCAGGATTACATCCTACAGAATTATATTGTAGAAAATTAATTAAATTTTTAGTTTTATTACAGTAAATATGATAATTTCATAAATTAACAACTGAGTCTCTTACTTAAAAATTATTTGATTTAGAAAAATAGGTTTCTTGGCTGGAGAGCAGTTTGGACTGTTCTGGAAAGAGGAGTATTGTCATTTTTCTCATCAAGGTATAATTATTTTTTTACTAATGTTTATAAACAATAAGAAAAAGTTTTACTTAATTTTATTGCTAATTAGCAATATAATTATTTTTAGGAATGTAATACAGAATTACATTGCTGAAAATAATTAAGTAGATACTGTAGATAATATTAATTAATAGCTAACCTAACATTATTAATTGTATTAGCTGTATTATATTTATTATATTAAATATTTAATAAAAATGTACATTTCAAAATAATAATGTAAAAATATTCTAGAATAGTTTTAAGTACTAACCTTTAAAGTAAAAAAGTTTATTATAAAAATAAAAGTATTCTAGCCTTATTTTAAAATGATAATTTATTCCATAATTATTTTTGAACTTCCTTACCAAATAAGTAGATAAAACTATTGAATTGATGGTAAATTATGGATTTGTGCCTCATCAATAGGCTGGCATGTGGAATTTTCTGGGTTTTCTTCACATACGGGTCAGCTTCACATAGAAAGTACTTGGCAGATATTGCATTGCTTTATTTCATCAATTCAGTCTAAAAAATCTGAACTTCATCTAGTTCATTATTAGAAGTACAAATAAGTGTAATTTGAAGTACTAATAAAATAAAAAATAAGTTGAATAAGGTAAAAAAATTAAATTACAAAAACATTTTTGATAATTAACTAATAAATATTATAAGACTACAGTAGAGTGTCAATTATCCGAATCAATTGGGGACTGGGATTGTTCGGAAAATCGATATTTCGGATAACCGATTATGTACGAAAAAATATATTAACCTATCCCATGTTGAAATTTTTCTCCATTGCGTGTCGCTTCGCGTTGAATTTTTGTTGATGTTAAGCCTAACAAAGACTATTGTATCTTTAAGAATTATTTTTTTATTTTGTACAAACAAAATAAATATATTGAAAAATATAAAAACAAGAAAAAAATTATACTTCAGAAGTTAATTTAGTATCAAAAACGTAAAATATTTGAGTAGCCCAGAACGTAGCCAAAGATTGCAGCGCCACAGCACTGGCGAAAATTTAAATTTGCTGACTGGAATTCTTTCAGATAATTGACTTTTGAATAATCAATGCTCTACTCTATATAAACTGTTGGTAAGATTAATAACATTTACACAATAAAAAATAAAGATTGCTAACAAAAACTGCTTCATTTTATTTTATCATCAGTGACTAAATCAAAATAAAGAAAAACTAGAAATATTAATTACAATTATAAAGATGAAAAATGACAAAAAAGAAAAAAAAATCAAAATATGAATGAATAAATAAATAAAATTTCAAAGACAGAAATTGTACTTAAAAGGAAGCTCATAGAGAAAGGGAATGACTCATTTTTATTTAATTGCTCAATGACAAACCATCTCCAATAATCAACATCCCAAACAGAATTAAATAATAATGAGTGTTCATTTCATTGGCTTTTCTTTCTACAAGGTCACTATTATAAATTAATATTAGTAATTTTACAATATTTTTACTGGTTTTTGTTTTTTGCTTTTTCATTTTTAATGAACAAAGAATATATTTGTTTTATTTAAATTGATCTAATTGAATGTAATTTTACATTGTTGTTATAATTAATTTTTATTTTGATATTTTTATAATTGTATTTCATACGAGGTCTGTTCAAAAAGTATCGGACTTTTATTTTTTCCGCATAAACCAATGATGCACGGGAGGCCTCTTTTGGTGGAGTTGTGGAGGGGACAGTCATGCACAGCCCTGAATTTTTTCCCGCCTGAAGGAAGCATCAGTCGTTGACAGTTGGCCTATGAGTGAGATCATGTAGCGAGCTCTCGTCGGATTCCACTAAGTTGGAAAATGACTGAACAATGTGAGCAGCTATATTACATCAAATTTTGCCAAAAACCTTGGCGATACCTGAGCGTAAACCATTTGCAAGATTCAGCAGGATTTCGGGGACGATCCTCGAGGCCAAAAAAAGCGCAGCAGGCCCGCAGAAATATTAAGGTCATGTTGACAGTTTTTTCAACTCTCGTGGGGTGGTGTATCGTGAGTACGCACCACGAGGCCAAACTATCGCAAAGGAGTACTACCAGGAGGTCCTTCGTTGTCTTTCCGATGCTGTGCGACGCAAACGACCGGATCTGTGGTCGATCAAAACTTGGCAGCTCCATTGTGATAATGCATCCGCCCATTCTGCACATCTGATTCGGGTTTTCGTCGCCAAACACAATACTCCTATGGTTCGTCACGCTCCGTACTCTCCCCACATGGCTCCGTGTGACTTTTGGCTATTTCCCAAGCTGAAAATGCCGCTAAAAGGAACCCGATTTTAGTCAAGAGAAGACATTGTGCGGAATGCGACGGACCAGGTGATGGCCATTCCAAAAGATGCGTTCCAGCAGTGTTTCCAGCAATGGCAGGAATGCTGGGAGAAGTGTATACACTACCAAGGAGACTACTTTGAAGGGGATTAGGGTTTTGTACCTCAAAATCAATAAATGTATTTTTGCCGACCAAAGGTCCGATACCATTTGAACAGACCTTGTATATTATTATTATTTTTTTAATTTAAGAGAGCTTAAATAATTATTACTATGATACAATAATTGAATACATTAAATTCACGTAGTTATTTGAAAATAATAATTATAATGCATTTATAAGTTCATTCATGTGAATTAATAATTTTCAAGAAGGCATTTTAACCACAAATGCATTTTTTAAAATTAAAAATAAAAGGCATTGTTTTTTTCCTCTAAAAAATATTGTGAGAATCTGGAGTTGGGAGATTATTTTATTTAACAAATATTATATTAAAATGTTACAATTTTGATAGAGATTTTATCTAACTTCCTTTGACTCAGAAAGAGTGACAAGTTAGTTCCTCCTAAAACAATAGTTCAAGTGTGATAAATCCACTCAACTATCCACAAAACCACCCGACTTTCTTCTTGACAGAAACATGGTATGACATTCCAGTAATCTTATTGGATGTCAGTTTTGTATAAAATGATAAAGGTCACCTTTTTACTTGCTCTAGCCTTACTTGGTTTGATACTCTTAAGTACATCAAGGCTTTAGCCAATGCTTCTGTATTGGTGCCCTTGCTGAGTGTCCAACAGTTTAATAATTATCCTCCCAGTGCTCCAAGTATGTGTTCCCAAGAACTAGTTGACTCTCCATCTCAGTTGTGTTTGGACGTAAGGGAATAGGATTTTATGTAAACTCTCTCTCAGGATTGATTTTGAGTTTAAGATTTGATATCCTCATATAATTGAATTGTTGAATTTATCATGTATGTTTATCATAGTCATCATTTATATGTATTCACTTTTAATTATAATTTATATAATAAATATATAGTTATATTTTAAACTGTCTTTTAGATTTATTTTGTGCCTAACTCCAATGTTGGCACATGTTACAGTAGAAACATTCAAATATAATAACCTCCTAGAATTCTGGTCAAGTTAAATTATATCTTTATCCACTCAGAGAATAGACTTGCCACAAGTTGAGACATGATAGAAATTATCTCAACTGGTGTCAGGAGACCTGTCAAAAATTAGAGAGTTGAGGAGTATTTGTGTACTAATCAAACCTCAGAGATAAGTAATTGGCCATCCCGGTGAGATGGAAGGTCATACTGAAATGCCCTGTGATCTCACAATATATCCCTTAATTTATTATGCTAGCTTTATAGAATTTAAATTAATTTTATATTCATTTGTTAATTACATTTTATGTAGTCCTGAGAGAGATTTGGCAAACAAAATTTTGAGTGTTCTAGAATACTGAAAGAATGAGCATGGTATGAAAACTATATATGCAAAACTAGAACAAGAAGTTCAAAGCACAGTCTGGCCAAAAACATTTGTAATGTATACTATTAAAATCTAATTTTTCTCTGGAACTCTAAAATAAGTGTGGTTTTACTTTGAATGAGAGTGGTTTTATTGTTTACTGCAAATTTAATCCATTCAGAAATATTACAAAAGCATTAAAAAGACCATTTATTTTTATAAAAGCTAGATTAATACTGAAAAGTAGAGCATCAGTTAATCCATTTCTATCTTTCAATTTCACCTTTGATCACACAAGTGGTCATCCACTTCTACGACTTTACTGTTTATTCATTGTCTTGAAATTTTTAGCAAACCATTTATATAAAGTGTTGAAGCTATTATGCAAACATTGTTTTGTTATTTGGTTTTGGAAGTTTGATGCTTCCTAAGGATCTATCGATATCAACAAACCAAAAGTTAGTTTAACAGGTGGCACTTCTTTTTTATTTGGCATTTGCCATAATAACAAATAACTCACAAAGACAAATTTTTGATATTGCAGATGGCTGCTTACAAACAATTGCTTCAGTTAAAATCAGCTTTATGTAGCAATTTCCAGAATTGATTCTTAGAAAAACTTATATTTTTGTATCAGTTTAAGAAAAAAAATTTACAAGTTTTTTTTTATAAAAAGTGTTTTGATACACCTAAAACCCTAATCTGTTGTTATAGGAAGTGACACTTTATCATATTGAAATTTGAAAAAAATTGTAGATCTATAAATTCCGTGTTGTCCATCTGTCTGTCCTTCCTTAATCTCAAGAATGGTGTTACATAAATGTAAGTTGAGACTAGATTTGGAAAGCTTATGAGCAGAAGGCCCCAATTAAATATATATGAATTAGTGATGTAAGGAATATTCGGTTAGTATTCAGTATTCGGCCTATTTTTCGCTATTCGGCCGAATACCGAATATTTAATCACTATTCTGCCGAATACTGAATACCTAAAAACAGGAGTAAGAAATAACAAAAACACAGTAAATTAATCATTTTGGTATTTAGATTTAATGTTATCGGGTTAGTGTTGTTTGTTTAGGCCTATATTTATTTATAACTTATAACATGCACAAAATAAAAAAGAAAATAATATTAGTCACATGTATTCACAATTTATAATTACAAAGATCAGCACACGTACACACTTATTCGTTCGAGAATTGTTGCGCTTCTGAGGTCTGACCCTGCCTATCCTTCTTTTAAGCGCTCTTCCCTTTCTCTTTCCTCTATCGCTCTAGTCCATATAATACACGCTCACGATACTTTCGATTCATCACTTTTCCATTGTAGATTTCCCATTTTACAATTACGTGACTCATAGCCTGGTGATAACGGAGAAAAGAGAGAGATAGGACGTCGGTATAAGTCACAGTTATGATTTCACAGATTCGAGACAGCTTGAATTGCCCCAGGCTTTCGCCCGTGCACGCTAAGTGACTTTCATTACAAGCATTTAGCTTTCCGAAGTCTGGGACAACAATTGTTTGGCATTGACGGCCACGAATTTTGCGGCAATAAGCTGCCTTGACTCGTTCGATTATGTTATCAACTGAATTTCATATTTATTTTCACATTTTCACTTTGCGATCCTTCTGTTCTTTTTCTGTTATTTACACGTGTAGGTCATTTTATTGTTATCCACATTTGATATCATCATTTATCGCATACTGCCATGACGCTCTTGTCTGTTCTCTACAACTGTCAAGAATTAATGCGATTGGCGAAGCGTAGTGACAGCGGGCCAATGGAGAGCAGGGTCCTTGCCATAATGCGGTTTGCGCGCCAATTTTCGTACGTGCGTTAATCAAGCGGAATAGTTTGGCCGAATATTCGGCTATTCGGCCACACTCCTGGTCGAATATTCGGCCTGAGGCCGAATATACTATTCGTTGCAACACTAATATGAATTTCTAGATTGCACTGGAAGTCATATTATTTGAATTCAAAAATTTCCACTAAACAGAGTTAGATAGATGACTAGCATGATTCTGTTGTTAACAGGAAAAGTATGATGTACCAGGCCAAGACAACTAAAATCAAAACCTATATTTTAAATTAAATAAATTAAAAATATGTTTAAAAATTACAGCCTCTGCATTATGGTGATGTCACAATATTTCAATAAATACTTGCTCATTATTTTTAATTTAGGATTCCAAATTATTTTTCTCTTGATATTTTGTGTCTTAGTCTTTTGGCTAAATGACAACAATAGGAATTTTCAAATCTGAAACATTCTACTTACCATTAAACATCAAGTGGGACAGACATTCAATATGCATGAGATGAATTCAACACTGCTTTTTTTTTTTTTTTCTGGAAAGTATCTAACAGGATTTCATATTATCATTGGATATATCTTTATAAACTGTATATTATATGCTATTATTTAGTCATAACAAAATTTTACCTTATTGTGTCTTTTATTATATTCATTTTGAGAAATGTTGGTTGTTTCAATTAATTAAAATAGAAAGCAAAAATGAAATGGAAGTTTTATTGTAGATCTTATTTTAAATTATGTTGTGTTGTTGTTGAAAAATATTATATATATGTATTATTTTCAGGGCTGATGCTTCAACTGGTACTAAAAGAAAGGGATACAAATATCTTGATGGATGTAAAATAGAGGTAAATTGAAGATCTGTATATATTTTCCAAAATTTTAAGTCAATAAAGAAAACAATGTGCTAATATTGTGCTAACAATGTACTAAACTGTAAACTATTCTTTGATCTTGATTCATTAAAAAAAAATCTCTTATGAAAGGAGCTAGAATAATTATAGTGAAGATCTTAGTGAAGTTCTTTCCCAACTCCGTCTCGTTGAGTTGGTTCTGTGTGTATCACGATTCGATGTAGTGAGCCAGGTTTGATGGAAAGCATACCTCCACGCTCAAATTGATAAAATTTACAGTTTATTTACAGATTCTATATGTAGAAGGTACAGTACAAGTTCGAAAACATAATATATACAGTAGACCCCCCTATAATGTGAGTTCCTATAATGTATATAACGCGGCAAAAAAATTGCGACAATATTCGTATAAAGACGCTAAAAGGGACGCGTAAAACGTGGTAAAACGTCATCGCCAACTCGTCATCGCGGACGAGCAGCCGAATTACTTTCCGCCGTCCAGCGCTACACTACAGAGAGTTTAGGCGGGTAAATTGAGTTTACTATCGTCTGTACAGTATTATATATAAATTATATATAAATTAGGTACTGTACATATAATTATATATTAATTATATATAAATTAGGGACTGTATATATAATTATATATTAACTTAATTTATTTTAACTTTATTATAATTATATGTATACTTCCCACCGTCTAGCGCCACGCTACGGAGAGTTTAGGCGAGCTATCGTCTGTACAGTATGTAAATTAGGTACCATAAGCCTAATACAGTACTGTAATTTTATACATTTCTTGTGAAAGAAACATTTCTTATTCAATGGCGATTAAAATTATTTCTATTAATGTCTCCAAAGTTCAACAAAGCTTTCGCAGAAAAATAACATCAGAAATCGCGGTCGCAGTTTGCTGTGCTGTTCCGCGACGAAAACAAGCTTGAGCAACGGCGATGTCGAATGGTGCACACTCGGTAAGTAATCCTACAATTTTTTGTTTATAGCGTAGTTTATACGGATTATTTCCAAAAAAAATATACGTATTTTGGAAATGTTGAGTCGGATTAGTCTAGAATCGATTAATTTTATGGAAGAAAACCTTTCAAACAGCCGTAGTCCGTAAACTTCACATGTGTCGGGCTGCGATTGGCTCATGTATTTAAGGATTCCTACGACGCAAAATTTGTATAACGAGGAACGTATCTCTGCATTATAGGGGGGGTCTACTGTATATACAGGCAGTGGCGTGCCTTCATTAGAAGCAGTGGAAGCGCCGCTTCCCTTGTATTTTATAAAAAATAAATACATATTAATTTTAGTTATATGAAAATAATTGCACAATATTTTATAACTGCATTATATATCTTATTACAAATTTCTATACTACACGTGAAAAAAAAAAAAATAAGATTGCTATTGTATATTCGAATATTAGTGGCAGAGTGGAATCTCTGTATTGTCAGATTCCAAAAAGCCAGATTCGCGCATGCGCTTTACAGAGCACCAACCTCACCTGGTTTAGCCGGTGGAAGCCTACGACCTTCAGTTGATGCTACACATTCCAATGTTTCCAATTCTATCCGGGACCGGTTCCGGGCTGTTAGCTGCTTGCCCGCCCGCTAGATATTTGGCCGATTACGTGAATAACGAGTAGATTTATAACTTAACCCAACCGATAAGAATTTACTGGTATGTTTTTACATTAGTTCTGTATAGTTGACAGGAGTTCAAAAAATTCATTAAAATATTTGATATTTTTATTCTGCTCTCCGATTTTATATTACTCACGGATTTCAATGTTAAACCAGTGATATTACGATTTTGTATATCCCATCTTTAAGAGGATGTAGAAGAAAACATGTACAATTCTTGTGTATAATGTTAAAAAATTAACCGTTACTTTGGTAGCATCATTTACAACTAAATTTAATGAATGAGAGAGATGCACTAGGTACAGAGAATGCTCTAGAATTTATTTTCCTTAAATTTACGATTTATGTATCCGTTTGTCATAAAAATTTGTCTTTCCACTTTTTCCCCCGTGACTACAAATATTCGAGTACAAAGTAACTGGTTTTGACTTATTTCTACTTAAGAAATAGTTAAATAATTAAGCGATTAGGGAATTGGGGACACAAAACTCTGATGAAAGAGCCAAAATTTTACTTAAACAAAAGCCTAACCGAACCTATCTCCAGCCGAGTACAGTGGGAATGATTTCTTTGAAATATTAGATGTTATAAAGACAGACATTTTTCCAGTTCGAAGAGAGTGACCGAAAAGTTGTAAATTTTGGAAATTTCCTTGGACAACACCTGGTCCTAAAACGAATTAGAAAACAAACAACGGATAATCTATTAAGTTTAACATATTTAGACTTTTACAGCTATGGTGAGAAACGTTTAAAATTTACAAGAACCCTGTCGCGTCTTTTGACATTTGACATTGACCAGTATTGGCACCCTCGGGATTTGGCAGCCCGCGTGCATGCACGCACTGCACACCTAGCAGGACCGTCTCTGATTCCACTCGTAGAGAGCTATTTGACTAAGTGGTTTAGGTTTAAAGAGTAAAGAATATTTTATGTTACTTTTATGTACGTTTTATTACAAAGCTACATTTAATTATAATTTTCTTTAAAAGTATATTCATACAATTGAAGAATGTTTTGTACCAGGTATNTAAAATAAATATTGAAAATTATAACGAGATAGTTACGGTTTATAGATATAACATCTATTTATTTAGATATAATATATGTTTTTATCAAAGCAAGAATTGGCATTTAGAGGGCAAAGGGAAACCTATTGAAACTAATAACAGAGGTAATTATATTGAACTTGTTTATTTATTAAGTACGTTAGATAAATAATCTATTAAAAATACATTTAAAGAAAGAATTAACCGATTGCCCCTGGAAGTCGGCTTCCTGTAGAAACACAGCTTCCCTATCATCAAATGTCATGGCATGCCCTGTATACAGGATAACAATGCATGGTGACTCATACTAGATTGGTTTCTGAGAACTTTTAAACTTTGGAGATGCCTCAGTCAGCTTGTGGAGTTGGCTCAACTGCACGGTCCGTTTAGTCTCCGCACTAACCTGTCCCTGAGATGTTTACCAGAGGAGAACACTCTCTCTAAGCTCAGCAGGTATCCCAAGTGCCTGAGACTACTGTGTACCAGTCTCTTGCCCTTCTCTCTTTCTCTCTCGTTCGCCCCACAATTTAAGGGTTTTTTGGATGGGGACTTCCGACCAATTGCAACCCTTTCTTGCCTGAACAGCTTACACTCAGGTCCGCTGTCATCCGACGAGAGTGAAGCTTATATAAATGTCCGCCACTTGTTTACATTTAGTTGTTTACCATATGGCAAATGGTCTATCGTCTAACCACAGGTGGGTCCAATTGACAAAGTCGGCACTTCCTTTGTTTTCCCTCTGTATACAAGTCAACACCTTACAAGTGGTATATTGCCCAACCGCACGTGGGTCCAATTGACAAGGTCGCGCTTCTTTTGTTCCCTCTCTGCTAAAAGGGTCAATACTTTACAATTATATTTAAATTAACTTAAAATATAATATTTAAGTAAATTAGAACTGTTTAAAAATTTATCCTAATCCATTCTCAGAAGAACATAAAATAAATAACAAGTGATGTAAAGTGTCTTAATATTTAGAAATATAATTGAAATTAGCAAATTATGACTATTAAGATTAGTATAATTTATATATTTATATAATAACTAGCAGACTCCGCCACGCGTTGTTGTGGCTCAAAATGTATCTATCATAAATGTATAACACTTCCCCTGTGGGGGGGAAATTTTTCGAAAAATTTCTTCTTAGTGTACATTCTCTTGACGTACCCTATTAAAACGCAATCAAACACTCAAAAACCCGCATCTAAAATAATATAATAGAAGCCAAGTTCTTCATGGTAAGCCTTAATTCTGTCCCTCTGCCCCGCAGGGGAATATTGAAAAATCCCTTCTTAGTGTACATTCTGTTGATGTACCCTATTAAAATGCAATCAAAAATGCATCTGAAATAGTATAAATAGAAGCAGAGTTCTTTACCGTAAGCCTTAATCGTAACCATCTCCCTTCAGTGGGGGGAATTTCGACATGTATATTACAGTATATAAAAACACGTGCGTATTCGAATGCAGCATTGTGTCAAAATTTCAAAGGAATCGGTAGGAACAAACGAACATTACATTTTTATTTATATAGATAGATAGAAGATGATCCGCTTTAGTTCATTTTCACAGAAAAGCGTAATGCCTCACAGAAAAGCAAACTTAGGGCGTCATACTCGTAGCGCCATCTGTTGGACATAAAAGCCTTAACCATAGATGATATCAGTTAATTTATATGAATGTTTAACGGAATAATATACAGCCTATGTCCACCCTGAGGTTCCATTCTAAATATTGGTGAAAGAATTTTTGAAATCGGATGAGTAGTTTCGGA